TTCCTTCTCTCTCTTTCTCTGTCTCTCTCTGGTCAAATTAAAATAAATGAATGAATAAATAAAATTAAATAATTTTTAAAATAAAAAAAATTTAAAAAGAAGTAAAATTCCATCACTCCACCCTAGCTTATTATTGGTCACATGGACCAACGACTGCAGGCAGGAGTCGCCAGGGTATCTTGTACAGCTGTCACTGACTTAGTCATTCAGCGGGGCCAGCAGTCAGTCAGCGTAATGGCTGTGGCTGGACTCCCACGTAGTCGACCGCGGTTCGTGACCCAGACCTGGTGGCTTAAACTCACACCGGGCGCGTGTGCGTGCGTGCCCAAGATCCCGAGAGGAGAATGGAGGAGAAGGGATTGCGGCGAGGCCATCCCCCCTGGGGGGGGGGATTTCTCACTTTCTGTCTCTCTGTCTTTCTGGTGAGTGCACACGTCCAATAGCAAAAACCTCTCCAAAAAAAAAAAGAAATAGTCACTCAGCAATTAGAAATGCAGACTGTAGCCATAAGGGCCCATTTCTGCCAGGCACAATGCCAAAACCTGTGCCGTTGGTCACAGGCGGTGCTCTTAGACTGTCCTGAAAAGGCAGCTTGAGTCATCCCTGACCTAGGAGGGGATACCTGACTGCTCAGGGGCTCAGAGAATGCCACAGCAGCAGACAGAAACCCGGGAGGGGGAGTCACCCTGTCACAGCACACCCCAGGTGCCCGCTGTGTGGAAAGTGAAGGTAGTTGTAAGGTTCCATGTGATTCAACTAAAGTAGATAAATTGAGAAAAAGAATCTTGCTGCAGTAGCACAGACACAGACGGAGCCCATCCCGTTGCAGCCCAGAAGGCCGGGCACTGAGTGGACACACCACGCTAGAGGACCCACGCTCGCACTTCTTGTGCCGGTGTGTTGCTAATCAATACTTACGCACTGAATATTGACGGACAATCAGTAGATCAGCTTACACTGTGGTTTGTTTTCTTCTCACAGCCGTCTCTAAGCAAATACTAAAAGACTGACCCAAGTTGGCAGCACTTCCTTCGGGAACTTCACTCCAAACTCCACAAGGACCTAGAGGAGAAACCGGGACTGGGGGGCAGGGGTGGCGGGGAGACAGGAAGAAAAGGAAGTGACTAGGGCCAAGGGAAGCGAGGAAGAAAAGAGGCCCTTAGTGTGCTTTGGCTTCGGGCCAACCGCTTTGCCCGGACAACAAGCAGCTTCCACGAGGGGCACAGGGAAGACGCGGTGGACTCGCCGCAGCTCCCACGGAAAAAGCCCAAGCGCAGTCGCGCTGGCCGGGGGACTGTCCTTGGAGCTCAGCCTGAGAGGTGGCAGGGAGCAGGCACCAGGGCGCCAAGGGAGCGTCCTGCAACCCTATGGTGAGGCATGGGGTCAGCAGTGTGGGGGAGACCGGCCTGCAGCGGCAGCGAGCCCCAGCCCCATTCTGCTGGGCACGCTGCGGTCTCTGTACAGGGCGCCCATTCGACATGAACCGCCCACGCCGCCCTCTGCTCCTGCGAAGTAAAACTGGTGGAGGTTCACCTGTCGGAAGTACTTTGGCGCCAGAAGTGCCTCCTCCCCCAGGAGAGAATTCCTGACCTTGCTGTTTGTGCTTTCGAAGAGTCCAGAGCTGCTAGTCCTGCAGGGGTCAGCCTTGTGCCAAAAATGCACTTTCCAGCGGGACAAGGGACTGACGCTGCCTCTCCACAGCCCACGCGGCGCTCCTGTGCACGCTCTGTTCGTGTCCACGGAGCTCCTGTCCCTGGGATCACCCACGTGCCTGGAACCCGCAGCGCTCTGCCCTCTCCAGCGTCCCCCCACCCTCCCAGGCAGGCCCTCCTGTCCCAGGGGCCTTCTATGGAGTTCTGGGCAGACCTCTTGTCTGCCAGCCGACAGCGCCCCTTCGCTGCTTCAAGCCCTACTTGGCTCCAGGTCCGCAAGAGGCAGAGGAGTACTTGGGCAGTCTGTGGGGTCTGCGAGGCCAGAGCTGCTTCGGAAGGCCAGGGTTGGCAGCGGTGAGCGGCCAAGGGACTCATGTGGAAGATCTTTTGCCTGTATGGTTTCCCTTACTTTGCCTCACCAGCATGGTTCACTATTGGTGCAATTTTTAAGGAAAGTTTTTAGTTTTTGTTTTAACTTGCAGTTGGTATTAACAAAGTTATACACTCATGCATCCTTCGAAATTATCCAGTATAAGACTCCTCACTAAGGTGACTTCAGGCTGGGGAACAGCGGTTGGTGTAATGGCTATGTCGTTGGACTCCCATGTAGTCGACTGTAGGTCGAATTCCAGACCTGGTGGCTTAAACTAACACTGAGAATGTGTGCGTGTGTGCCCAAAATCCCAAGAGGAGAATGGAGGAGAAGGGATTGCCGCGCGTGGCCGGGTGATTTCTTGCTTTCTGTCTTTCTCTGACTTTCTGATGAACATGCATGCCCTATAGCAAAAAACTTCTCCCCCACAAAAAGCAAACAAACAAACAAAAAAGGCTGAGGAACAGGCTTGAAGGGATTTGGAGCGCAGCCCTGGCCCTGACGTGCAGCGGCCAGCTCTTTTCACCAGCACTCTGACATCTGCACCCTCTGGCCTGTGCACCCCTCTTCCCAGACCTCCTCCATCCCCCAAAGGCAGGAGGTAGGGATATTGAGCATACTGACAGCTAAAGGTCAAGATGGTGTCTTAGTGGCTAAGTTTTCACATAGGAAAAGCTGGTTACATTGGGACTCAAAGCAACTATAGCGAAGGGCAACAGTTTCTATTTACTAACTACAATAAGAAGTACCTTCTGATAGGGTCTGATGACTCCACAAAGAATGGGGTAATAAATTATCCAACCATGTAACCATTTTCTATAGCACACTTCCCTATCAAAAAGCCAGCCCCCTATTCAGACACAAGATATAAACCTTAACCTAAGGCCCCTCACTGGTAACCCACTTCTGAGACCCCTTCCTGCCTGGGAGTTGTTCTTCCTTCTCTCTTTCTTAGTAAACTCTGCTTTATTTCTTTGTCCACATCTCTAATTTTCATGAGCCTGAGGCAAGAACCTGGTTATCTCTAGCCCTGAATCCAGCATCGGTGCTGGCCTAGCCATCCTCATATACCCATCACTAAGGCCACATTAGGGGTCCTGTATGTCTTAGCCACCAGCAGGCTGTGGAAGGACATAGTTGGATAATGGTTCTCCCCTAGATTCACAGATGTCTCAGGACCAAAGGCTCTCCATGTGTGGCAGGCTGCATGGTGGGCTTTGGATTAAGAAGCATCTGACTCCCAAACTTCACCAACCTGATCAGACATCACCTGGGAAATGATGGAGGAAAAGGATCCAATCAGATACCAAGGCTGTAGGGTTTAGGCTAAACTGATTTATCAGGTCTAGACACTGCAGAGGTGAACATGGAAGTCAGAAACTCAGGGCCTTGCTGAGAAGAGAGTTCAGGGAGGCTGAATGAAGTTTGTTACAAAGAAAAATCTTTGTCATGAGCAGCCCTGCCCCTTCCTAGCAAAATAGAACACAGCAGGAGTTAGCAGAGGGAGTTGCAATTTATGTCCCTTTCTTGGGGTTGCAGGAAGAAAGGTGTGTCAAGAGAGCAGGGAATTAGTCCAGGATTCGAGTCATGTCTTTCCGCAATGCCAAGGCTTTATTCACAAGTGCTCTAGCTCACGACCAAGCCTAGCAGGAAAAAGGACAGGGAGTTGTGAGCCTGCTTGAGGCCAGTGCTGCCCCACACCAAGAGCCCACCCAGAGTCATCCATGGGAGGGAGCCATCTTCATGAACCCTCCATCCAGTGCTCGTGTCAGCAATGTGGCATCATGGCAGATCTCGGCCAAGCCTCCCTCATGCTGCAGTGGAGAGTGCCGGTCCTACACAGGCTGGCCGGAGTCCCAGTGCCTCCAGATCCTAGTGAGCCCTGCGAAGTGAGTGCTGGAGCTGCTCCGGCTGGCACACGTAGGTGGCCAGAGAGAACGGCCTGGGGCGGTCTGAGTGCCAGCTCCTGTGCCTTGCCCTATGCCAGGCCTTGTCTTTGTAGCCAGTTGGGTTATCAGCAGCCCGTGGTTTGAGGAGATGCAGTTTATCTGAGTGGTTGAGGCAGGTAGTTTATGCAGGTCTTTGAAAGCAGACAAGTTGTTTATGAACATCTGTGAAAGCAGTCAGGTAAATATGGTCCAAGTGTGTTGATTTCGAAGACTGTGGTGGTGGGTACTTAGCACGAGGAGGGCCACTGTGAGCCATGCTCTATAGAATGAGAAACTCTGCTCTGAAGAGAGGAGAGATTCTTTAGCTCGGTGTGCAGTCTCACATCCCATTAGTCACACGTTTCCCTCCAAATAGCAAGTGTTTTCAGGAGACCTGTCCTGGGGCCAGTCCCATCACCTCATTGTTAAGGGAAGCACCATGGCCAACTGTGCGATTCTAATCACGGCCTGGCAGCATAAAGAACATGTATGAGCCTGCCCCGAATCCTTACCAGGTGGCGAGACTGCAGTGTGAGCATGGCCCACTGGGGAATGCTTTCTGGTTTGTATGCCTCTTTACGGAGCCCTCCCAGGCCAGATGTTCTCATCTTGGCGTCGTTTGGTTATCAGCTTGTCGCGGCTTGTGGCTATAGTTGGCATACATATCCTCCGGAAAATTAAAACAAACAAACAAACATAACAAGGCCTGTTCTTTGTATAAGCTTCCTGGATGCCCTTTACTTTTACTTTTAAGTGAGTGAACTCCCAATACCCAAAACCAAACATAAAAGATGCTTACTTGGCCCTGGTGGAGTGTGAGGAAGTCCTGTGGGTCCCACCAGCCTGTCGACTGTCCTATCAGTTCTTTTCCCAGTGCCCTGAGCCTCCTCCTGCAGCCCCTCCTCCTGGCAGCAAGCTCTTGATTAGCACTGAAACCTCCTGTCTTCTTGGAGAGGTGCTGCCAGAGAAAAAGTCTGTTCCTCCCCCAGGGAGGTGACCATCACCTCTTTGCATTACTCACTCTTTCAGCTCTCTAGTCATCCTTGGCACACATGAGGTTGCCAGGTCATCTAGAATAAGCCCTACTTATCCACCCCTGCGCAGGGCTGCTCTTTCTGATGACACCCAGCAAATGCAGAGTGGATTTGCTCAGAGGAGATAAGTGAAGGCAGCAGACTTTGTGCCGACTGTCTTGATGTTCCTGCAGACGATGCAGCATGGACAACGGATGTCTCGGTGGTGGGAGGACATTCACAAACTTTATCCAGTGAAGTGTTGGAAATAAAAGGCAAGAAAAAGCTGACAGTGAATGAAGTCTCAATGAAGGGTCTCAGGTTCGTCTGCAAGACTTTGAATAAGAGCTAGGAATGATAATGATAGGGACCAGCAAGCAGCGTAATGGTTATGTCACTGGACTCCTACGTACTCGACCACAGTGTGAGTCCCAGACTCAGTGGTGTAAAACTCATGCTGTGTGTGTCTGTGCCCAGGATCCTGAGAGGAGACTGGAGAAGAGATTACAGCTGGACCATCCTCCCCGAGGGGTGATTTCTCACTTTCTGTCTCTCTGTCTGTCTCTGTGTTTCCAGTAAATGCACATACCCTATAGCAGGGAAAAAAAAAAAAGAAAGAAGGAAAGAAAGAAAGAAAGAAAGAAAGAAAGAAAGAAAGAAAGAAAGAAAGAAAGAAAGAAAGAAAGGAAGGAAGGAAGGAAGGAAGGAAGGAAGGAGGGAAGGAAGGAAGGAAGAAAAAGAAATAATAATGATAAAACAAAAAGTAGGGTATCAAACAATGTTCTAATACTGTAGCCCAGCTGGTGGGTGCAAGTGGGTGTGCCCAGGCTCATATTAATTTCCTGGGGCTGTCATCACAAATGGTCACCAACTATAATCATTTGTTCTCTTGAAGTTCTGAAAGCCAGACCTGAAATCAAGGCATCTACTGGACCAGGTTCCCTCTGAGGCTGTACAGAAGTCCCTTCCTTGCCCTGCTCCGGCCTCTGCTGATCACCACGGTCCACAGTGCTCCTGGCCTGTGCCATCACTGTGGTCTCTGCCTGTCATCACATAGCCAGCTCCCTGCTTCTCGCTCCACAAGGCCTTCCTGTGGGGCAGCAGCCATTGGGTTTAACAGGTGATGTGACTCCAGTCCCAGGCCAGAGAGTTGAGACTCTGAGGAGTTGCTGGCCCAAGTCCTAGAGTCTGAAGGCCCAAGAACCTGGAGCCCTACTGTCTGGGGACAGAAAGAGAAGAGGAGAAGGATGTCCCAACTCAGGAAGAAAGAGATAATTTCCCATTTATTTGTTTTGTTTGTTTGTTTGTTTTTGTTGTTGTTGTTGTTCTGTCTGGGCCCTCAAGTGACTGACAACCACAGCCCACAGCTAGTGAGGCAGATCTACTTTACTCAAACTATTAACACAAAGCTAATCTCTTTGGGAAGCATCGTCACAGGCACACCTAGCATAATATCTTCTCTGCTATCTGGGTACCCCTTAGCTCATTCAAGTTGACACCTAAAATTAAACAACACAGAGTTCAATGGCAGTAAACTGGGATACAGTAAAATGAGAGGTGTAGGACACTAAGATATTTAAAAGTTTATATGCCAGGGCTGGCCCCATGGCTCAGTGGGTAATGGAGATAAGCCCCACATAGATGACTACAGTTCAAATCCCAGCCCTGACAACTCGAAAAACACAGCAGGTGCTTGTGTGTGCATGCTCCAAATCCTGACATGATGGGGAAATAGAAGAAGGAGTGTGCTGTTACGCGGTCCCACTGGGGAGAGCTTTTTCTTCTCTCTCTCTCTCCTTCTGTCTCTGTCTCTCTGTCTTTCCGGCTGATGAGCACACATGCCCTCTGGCAAGAGAAAAAAGAAAAAGAATGAAACAAAGAAAAAGAAGGGAAGAAAAAGTTTATATGCAGCTTAAGGGAGAGAAGACTATAAGCAAGTACCTGCGAAGTGTCTCTGCTTGGGGTATTTCTTCCCCAGACTTCGTGTTACCATCAGGTGGGTTTTATAGCCACAGCTATGAAGTGAGAAATTAATCTACCATGTCCCATTATTTAAGTAACTCACATAGCAAGGGGGAAGAAATGGGATTTTCCTGTACCTAAGCCTGACAGGGAAGATAGCCAAGGTAGGCAGCATACCTTAAACTGAAACTGAGCAGGCTGGACAGAGATGGAGATGCCAAGAAGGCATCTGTGTTCTGAGGCAGAGTCGGGACACGGGTCAGGCTTTCTGAGGGGTTACAGAGGAGAGAGTGAAGGTAAGAGAGATGAAGGCTGAAGACTTGATGTCAGTTACCAAGTACCATGTGTGAGGGTGGAAGTGCACAGTTGTCAGAGGTGGTTTAAGTTTCAGGAAATGCTCTAGAAAGAGCAAGTTGGGGGCCAAAGTTGGAGTGGTGAGCTAAGGCACTGGACTCCCTCTTGGCCAAATGTGGTTCAAGTCCCAGACCTGAAGACTTTCTCTCTCTCTTGTGAACATGTGAGCCCTATAGCAAATTTAAAATTACTATTATTACTAATAATAATAAATAAAATTAAATAAATTTTCTTTTTTTTCTAAAGAGCAAGTTGAGGGTCAGCAGGCCAGCAGGTGGCATGGTGGTTAAGGTGTTGGATCTCACCTGGTCAACTCCGCGGTTGGCCTCCCAGACCCAGTGGTCTGAAAAAATATGTGGATGCATGTGTGTCAATGCTCAAAGTCCTGAGAGGAGAATGGAGCAGGGATTGTGGTGTGGCCATCCCCCTGAGGGTGATTTTTTACATTCCCTCTCTCTGCTTCTCTCCAATGAGTGCATGTGCCCTATGGCAACAAAAAAAGAAAAAAAGAAAAAAAAAAGGAAAGAAAGAAAGAAAAAGAAAAGAAAGAAAAGAAAAAGGGAAAGAAAAAGAGAAAGTGAATAAAGAAGACTAAGAAGAAAGAAAGAAAAAGAGCAAGTTGGAAGAACACTAAATGGAATTGATAGTTTGTTTTCAGCTATTTTTAGTTTATAGCAGAAACAAGAGACAATGGGGCACAAAGTTCCAGAATTGTGAGTGAGCAGGTTTTTCTCCTCCAGGAGGTCACTTGGAATGCTGCCCTACAACACTGCAGTGTCTGCACTTACTCATCCAAACAATCACTCCCAGAGGTGTCGGGGAGGCACAGCCTTTCCTGAGGATAGAACCCTAACTCTGTCGGTGGTACGTGGGCTCCAGCTCCCTAGCATGGCTGTGAGAATTAAGTGACAAATGTAACAAAACACCTAGCAGATCTATACTGTCCCCTTCCCCTGTCCTCACACACACACTGGAATACCGGATCCTTGACCAAGTCCTCCCTCTGAACCTCGGTTCCTCTGCTGAAATCCCAGGATGTCCAGATTTGGCTCACCTAAGGAGCAGAAAGCAGTAAAGATCAGAAAGGACCAAACTCATGTTCATGGAAATGTCTGAGAAATTGCCATGGGCATTTCCCCTTGAAGAGTCGAATCCGTCCAGGAGCAAAAGAGAGAAAAGGTACAGGACTACAAGGAGAGCAGGCAGCTCTGCCTCGGATCAGCTGCGGAGACAGACACAGAGGGTAACTGTGAAATGCCACAGCACCCTGAAGTAGCCCTGCTTCCTTTCCCCGAGTGCCCAGACACGCTCGCCACAACCACTCATGGCTGAGAGCTCCACACCAAGCCATCCTCACCTCCTGGCAGCCCCACTTCTTAGCTCACCTCTAAACAGCAACGGCTGAAGTGACACCCCCCCCC